GGAAAAAGTTTTGTATTCTCCTAAGGCCCACAAGAAATGAAGGAATTCATGACCAACAATGACTACCATGACATTGGATTCTATGGACCCAACTATACTTGGTGTAATAACAAAGATGGCCTTGCTAGAATATGGGAAAGGTTAGATAGAATTTGGTTAAATTCTAAAGCTATCATGGATTTTCCTAACGCAATTATCAAGCATCTCCCAAGAATATCTTCGGACCATTGTCCTGTTCTTCTATAGCTTGCAGATAAAGCAAGGAATTACAACAAAGAATTCAGGTTTGAGAATATATGGTGCTCGTATGAAGCAGCTAAAGGTATCATAACCAAATTATAGAGGAAAAAAACTATGGAAATGCTAATATTCTTCATAGGAAAATTAAAAGGTCTCCTAAGAACCTTTTTTATTGGAGTAAAAATAAGTTGAAGGAGTTGAACATGAGAAACAAGGTGCTTAAGCAGGAAATTTTGGAGTTCCAAAACAGAGAAGCTGCTGCTGGAGGCTCGAGCCAGGGAGATCTATTTCTACTGAGAAGCAAAGTTGCGGAATTTAATGCAACCCTGGCTAGAATTACAACTTGGTGGAGACAAAGGTCTAAATGCTAGTGGATGGATGAAGGCGAGAAAAACACAAGATATTATCACACTTATGCTTCAGCCAAGAAGAAGAGCAATCAAATTCTGCAAATTGCTTGGAAGGATGGATCATTGGTTTCAAATCATGAAAACATCAATAATATTATGGAGAATTTCTTCAAAACAAAATGGTGCAAGCGCAGCTGTGATTCGAAGAATTGGCCGAATTTCAAAAGTTATTATTGCATACAGGTTAATATGAGGAAAATTCTGGAAGCAGAATTCACTATTGAGGAGTTGAAGTTAACACTCAAGAATATAGGCAATAATAAATCTCCTGGAGCTAACGGTGCAAATGCCTATTTTTTCAAAAATTATTGGAGCATTGTGGAACAAACTACATGGAATGTTGTTAACAACTTTTTCAAAATAGAGGAAATTCCAGAGCAATGGAAGGAAACGGTGGTTGTGCTAATTCCAAAAATACAGAATGCTAAAGAATGTTCCAAGTTCAGGCCAATATGCGTATGCCAAACAATTTTCAAGATGCTTGCTGGTATGATTCTAAATAGATTCAAAAATTGTCTTCCGGTAGTCATTTCTAAGTTCCAGGGAGCATTTGTACTGGGCAGGAGTATTTCAGACAACTGCCTTATTACACAAGAGATTGTTTGTAAGATTAGATCATCTATTGCTAAGCCAGGTTATTTCCTTCTTAAACTCGATATGGAGCAAGCGTTCAACTGTATGTGATGGGAAACACTTGATCAGGTCTCAAAGTTGACAGGTTTTCCAGATAGATTAATCCTTCTAATTCTCCAATGTGTTTCAAACCCGAAATTCTCTGTTGTAATTAATGGTAAAAGAACTAAATGGATAAATGCTTAATGTGGATTCAAGCAGGGGTGTCCGCTGTCGCCAAGCCTGTTCATTTTATGCTTGGATCTTCTATTTAAAGCTCTTAATGAACGTAAGGTGCAGTTGGGGATGAGACTAGCATCGAATATAGAGAAGATCACACATTTAATATTTGTAGACGATGTCTTAGTGACTGCTAAGGCTTACAACAGGAATGCAAAGATGCTGAAGAAAATCTTCAAATGTTATTGCAGTTGGACGAGCCAGGTGATCAACTCACAGAAATCCATGGTTCTTTACGACAAAATTGTCTCCAAAAAGAAAAGAAGCAAGTTAAATATAATTATGGGATGTAAGGAAGTCAAAGAATTATTCTACTTGGGTATTAAACTGGTCTCAGAAGAATGAAAGCTGAAGACTAAAATAGCACCATTGAGAAAGCAATGTGTAGACTTAATTCTTGGGGAGCTAGATGTCTTTCTATGGATGGAAGAATTCTTCTCATTAAAACTGCCTATTCAAGCATGATTACTTATCAGGTAGCACACTCCCTCATTCCTAAAAGAATTTTATTAAAAGTTGACAAACTCTGCAGGAACTTCTTGTGGCATAAAGAGACTGGGAAATAAGGTTTGCATTATATTGCTTTGGAAACTCTATGCATACCTACCAGCTTAGGGGGTTTTGGCATACATGGAGCTGTGGCAAGTTAGGGTCCTTTAAGATCGATAATGGTGTGGATGTTTTTACAGAACAAGAATTCCCTTCTCCATAAAATCCTCTTCAAAAACTTTGGAGCCAAAATGTGGGATGAAAGCGCAAAGAGAGGTGCATCTACTGCTTGGAAAATTATTAAAGAGGGCATTGATTATCTGAAACCAATTGTTAGATGGCAGGTTAACAATGGTAATAGTATCAATATCAATGCTGATAATTGGATATTAGATAGAAGCCTCAAGAGATGGCCGGCAACATGTAATACGGTGGACATTGACGACAAGAAGGTTTCTTTTCTTATGGATGAAGATGGTAATAGAAATTCAGAAAAACTAACTGAATTCTTTTTTGGAGATATGGTAAAGATCATACAACAAATGGAGAAGGGGGCGAATAATATAGAGGATAGAATGGAGCTTGTTCATACCAATACAGGTAAAACTATATCAACATTATGTGCTGAAGCTATCAATTTTCAAAGAGATAGTAACTATAATAAGTATAATTGGCTGAAGAAGTTAAAATTGGACCAGAAAGTATTCCTATTCTGGTGGAGAGTGTTGAATGGTGCTTTACCAATGAAGGAGTGGTTAAGTTACAGAAGATTGGCTAATTCTAATGATTGTCTGAGAGGTTGTCATGAGAATGAAGACACAGAACATGTTATCATAAAATGCAGCATGCTGAAGGTATTATTACAAAAATTAAGAAGCTGCGGGTTCAATGTTCCTGCATTTCAAAATCTGGATGAATGTACTACTGCACTAAAACAGGCAGCTGATAAGGGTCTTGTGAAGATCTATGCTTTTGCAGTTTACCATAGTTGGAGATCAAGGAATATGGTCAAGCACGATAATTCTGAAATTCTTATAGCATATGCTGTTGCAGAAATTATTTCATATACTTCGCACCATCAGTCAAATCCAATTGAAAAGACCTGGAACACCAACCAGCCAATGCTGTCTAAATCTTGGTGTCCCCCTCCCCACGGTTGGATTAAACTGAATGTTGATGATGCTCTATCTGTTAAAAACATGGCGGGTATAGCTGTTGTTCTAAGAGATTGCAAAGGTAGAATGTTATGTGCATATGGTAGAAAGTTAATTCATTGGGACATTGCCTATTTGGAACTCAAAGCTATTCTTTCTTTTGAAAACTACATTCAAAATTGGTTTTGTGAATATAATGGAATAATCATTGAAGGAGACAATGTGAATATCATGAAGATGCTCCAAGATACTATGAACTTGAAGACTAACAAAGGTACCAAACCGGACCTATCATTCTTACAATTTTTCAATAACGTCATTTTCCTTTTTGATCATACCGATTGTAATAAGACGACTGATTTTTGTGCCAATTTTGCTTTGTTAGGATTTTTTTTTTTTTGGATTCTTATATTGAAACTGACCTTCCTACAAGTTTCTTGTACTTGTTTAGGAAGGACAGCCCTTTGTAAGCTCTTTTTTCCATCTTTAATGCTAATTACATCTTCTATTAAAAAAAAATAGTCACCCTAGAAAAATACCAAAAACATAAAATCTTTGAAATATAAAATAAGATAAAGGTTCCTTACAGCGAGACGAGCAAATATCTCAATTAGGCCAACTGATAAAAGTTGCACTGTGACCTTCAAATCTTGGTTTCCTCTTTTCTCTTTCCTTTCTTAAAAACTCAGGCCATTTCTTTATTGTTGAATTAAAGAGGTGAAAATGGATTTAAATAAAAATATTATAATGCTTTTAGATATTTTAATATAATATTAATATAATATTTAATTTAATTAATTCTTTAATATAAAATCAAATAAATCATTTTAGGAATTCGAAAATTATAAAATATATGAAGAAATAAATCATTTTATTTAAAACATATTAATTAAATTATTTACAAAATGGGCACCTAACGGTCCCAAAATTCTCACCTTTACTGACAGGTGTCAATTCCTTAAGGATTTTCATTGGTGTCCAAAAATTATGAAAAAAAATCATGAAAGTAAAATACTATAATAACAAAACTATGGCTAAGACGGTTTATGATTTAGAGTAATAATGACTTAAAAAATTTTTGACAAAGTCAAAATAAAGGTTATTACAACAAACTACCTTTGCCTAGCACACTGGCTAGGCAGTGAGACATATTGTATCCGAACTAAAGTTATTACTCAGTTCAAGGAATCTGATCCAATATGGGCATTGGTGGTCACTGATTCAACTAGTTCATGACAAGACCACATTCGTAATAAAATTTGTACTCTATTGGAAGATTTCAGCTCCAACTCTCCTCAAGAGCTCCCTGCCACCCTCTCATCTTTATGAAACATTAAGCATCAAATTGATTTGCTTCGTAATGCTACATTGACACTTTGATCTATGCAGCAACTACCACCAAATATGAATTTTTCCTGGTGATAAATGGAAAATAGCTTTGTAAAACTCCATTCAGACTCTATGAGTGGAGAGTCATTCCATTTGGTTTATACAACGTGTCTTCCACCTTTATGAGAATGATGCAAGATATGATAAAATTGGTTTAGGGAAAATTATGCATCTCATACTTTGATGATATTTTAATTTATAGTGACAATTTTTGCAACACAGAGACCATCTCAAATAGCACTTTAAATTATAATGGGAGCATAAACTGTTTCTCAACCTCACAAAAATGTGACTTTGCTACCACCCAAGTTCAATTCCACAATTTTGTTGTATCCAAGGAAGCCATCCAGATGAATCCGGAGAAAATTGCAAACATCCTCAATATGCCCAACCTGAATTCCTTCTTTGAAGTTCATATATTTTATGGATTAGTGAATTTTTATCGCAAGATCATTAAGTGATTTTGTATTCTTATGTGTCATATTACATACTACTTAAAATCTAAAACCTTTCACTGGGGTGTTAGACCTCAAAAAGGTTTTAAGTCTATTAAGAAGGCTTTGACATCCACCCTTGTTATTTCCATTCCAAATTTTAATATACTTTTCACTATTGAAACTAGCACTTCTTATATAGGCATTAGACCTGTGTTGTCCAAAGGAAGGCCAGTTGCATATTTAAGTCCAAAGCTTTGCTCATCCTGACAATGGTGGTCACCCTATGAATAAGAATTTTACTCAATTGTTTGTGCTCTTAAATAGTGGGAACATTTTTTATTGCATCAGGAGTTCATCATTTGTATTGATAACAGAGAACTTCAATTCATTAATATTCAAAAACATGTTAACTGCATACATGCATGCTGGGTCACCTTCCTCCAAATGATTTCTTTCTTCTGAAGCACCGATCTGACCAGCACAATACCATTGTTGATTCTCTTAGTAGAAATATGATTCTTCTAACCCAACTAAAAACCAAATTTTAAGGTTTGACTTATCATAAGGAGCTTTATGCAACTGATCCTAACTTTGCAGAAATCTAGAATCACTACCAGCTCCAGGGAAATTTTTTTGGTTTCACTATTCAGTATGGCTATCTTTTTTTAAACAACTTTCTTTCTATTCCTTTGTCATCTTGGCAACAACATTTACTTCGTCAGACCCATTCTGGAGGACTCACAGCTCATGCCAGCCAAGAGATATTACTATTTTCTTACAATCTCATTTTTGTTGGCCTTGCCTCCATTATGATGTATATTATTTTGTCGACTATTGTTATGTCTGCCAAGGTTACAAGGGGGGTTCTCAAAACATAGATATTTATTTTCCATTGCCAATTCCTGACTCCAATTAGGAAGATCTTAGCTTAGAATTCATCCTCAGTCTACCCCAAACAAAATGAGGTGACGACCCAATCATGGTTGTCATCGATCGCTTTCAAAATGGCACACTTCCTATCATGAAAGAAAACATCAAATGCACTTCACATTGCCCTTTTTTTCATCAAGTCATTCGGCTATATCGGGTACCTTGAAGCCTAACCTCTGACAGAAATGTCAAATTCATAAACCACTTTTAGCATGAATTATATATACGGTAGGGCACCAATTTGTGCCTTAGTTCAACTGATCATCTTCAGTTCACTGGAAAAATTGAAGTTGTCAATCGTACCTATAGAAACATGCTTTGATGTTTGGTTCAAGACTATCCAAAGTAGTGGGAAGAGATGTTAAGCTCAGCCAAATTCACTTACAACTATATGGTAAACTATTTCACAAGTAAGTTTCCTTTTAGCAATGTCTAGACTAAACTACCTAATCGTGCATTAGATGTTGTTGTATGTGCGAAGTACAAATCTGAGACTACTTCAACTTTTTCACTAATAATTGCTCTCAAATACTAAAAGAAGTTTTCCAACAGCTCATCAAGGCCAATCAATCATATAAGACAGCTGCAGACATTCACCGAACATAGAAACTATTCCATGAGGTGATCTCATCATGGTTCAAATGCGTCATGAACATTTTCCCACGGGGCACAAACACAAAACTTAAATACCGAATGATTGGCCCTATTTCGATCATTTCTAAAATCAATGACAATGCATATATTATGGATTTTCCACCTGATAATCATTTGTCCCCTACTTTCAACATTTCAGATATTTGGCCTTAACACCGTCCCGATGACTCTCCAATTATAATCAGTTAGTTGGAGTCAAGCTCTTCTAATGTCGGAGGACTGATGCATCACATATTAGGCTCCAACGTAGTATTATATTAGTTGCTCATTCTTCGCTCACTTCATAATATTTTTGTTCTTATAGTAGTATTAATATGTTTCATTGGTTGCTACATAAATATTAAATATAGAAAACTATATGATAGGAAAATAAAACTATAGGAAATATACATATAGGAAACAACTGTTGAGATGGAGGCAATTTTAGATATCATCGAATAGACATCTCTTTGTTATGTGGAAAAGTTTTCCCTTTTTTTATTTTTCCTTTGAATTTCTCTTGTTTCAGGTATCCTTTAGGAGGTTCTTGCTACTGTTGCCAGTCTATGGGTTGCATCAACATTGATGATGTACTAATAAAAATTAGAAGAAATATCATAATACTCCGAAATCTAATTTTTTCTGAATTTTTGTGATGATGTGGCTAACTATAAACTATTGGCAAATAAGTTGTAATTACATCCAACATAACCATGAAAAAGAGTTTGTAAGCTTCATTGCCATGCTCTGTCTGTATGGATTCATAATAATTCATGATAAAGCATCTTGGTAATTCATTTTTGTTTAAAAACCATACACGAATAAATGTATAAATTATTCCTAGATATTTTCAGTGTCTATTTGTCATAAAAGGTTTTCAAACATTCATTTTAGTGCCTCAAATAGCTAAATTTGAACAAAATTGGCCTTATAGCTTACTTACTCATTTCTTTAGATGAACATTGATGGGAAAAAGCTTTATAAGTGGGAATTATGAACTTTTAGGGTTGATTTCTCCACTCAATATCATATAAAAATAATGAGATTGGCCCTAAAAGACAAAAATATCCTAATGAATAGCTTTCTCGACCAATTGTTGTCCAAAGAATTATCAAAGTTGGTGATATGATCAAATTAGTCTAATTTTGGTGAGTTGAGGTATAAAATTGATATTTATAAAAGTCTAAGGGTATAATGAACATATTTATAAATCTAATGATCATTTTGATCTATTTATAACACACACTTCCTCAAATAGTCAAATGTGTAGTCTTGTCACATATAAAAAAGTTTTAAGGCACCATATAGCTTACTCTTGTCCTTCTAAATACCTTATCAATTCCTTATATCTCCTTGCATTTTTATACATGTTAATTATTCCATAGTTAAAAAAGAAATTAAGCTGGAATACATATTTGTAGAAAGAAAGTACAATTTTTTTAATTTCTCATTGAAGTTTTGAGATAGACTGAGTCAAAACCTCATGATGCTGACATTTTCAAAATTCGATTTGGATGGCCCTGAATATGAGTTTAAGAGGTCTAAATCTAAATAGTTTAGAATAGATATATAAACTATTTATTATTTTAAGAGCAAATTAAAAACCATAGACCATTGTCGAGCAACTCAAAAAAAAAAAAATATTAGAGATTTGATTTTAATCTATTAACTTTTATACACACAAATGAGCTCT